TCAACCATGTCTGATCTGTATGATCAAGAGATTGGTGTCCCTCAGGGCAGTATTTTATCTGTTACATTATTTAGTCTTAAAATCAACAGCCTTGTTGAAGTTTTAAAAAGTAATATTGAAGGTTCATTGTATGTTAATGACTTTTTAACATGTTATAGAGGCAAAAATATGAATAACATAGAAAGACAATTACAGTTATGTCTTGGAAGAATCGAAAAATGGGCCTCGGAAAATGGGTTTAAATTTTCCACTTCAAAAAAGCACCCAAGGGTGACTGGGGAATAGAAGTATGGTCACCATTGGTCTTCCTCCGACCGGCAGTAAAACCCGTGCTAAAGTGGGGCGTCCGTTTGGCTGTGCTGGATGTACAAATTTTCAGCCACGTCCGGTCAGAATGGGGACGTTAAATCCGATGCCTCGTGTAAAGAGAGTGCCACGCTCTTTGCACGTTAAGAACCCTGCAACAACTCTTTGAGGGGTCCGTAGGTGACCTGTTGCAAGGCTAAATTTCTGTCCCTATCCAATGTTCCCTCATTTTCCGTGGCAGTCTAAATTTCTCCGACCTTAATCCCTTAATCTATTACAGAACCTACCTATTGTATTTATTGTGAACTTGTTCTCGTCCTAAATATGCATGAAATATTTGCCACTGGACGTTAAGCAACCAACAATCAATCAATCAATCCACTTTAAAAACGGTCGGGATGCATTTTTGTAACAAAAGGAAATTGCATCTTAATCCATATCTCACTTTGTACGGCAACCCAATTAAAATGGTTGATGAAACCAAATTTCTTGGGTTAATTTTCGATAAAAAGTTAACCTTTCTACCCCATATCAAAATGTTAAAATCGAAATGTTTAAAAGCATTAGATATTTTAAAAGTTGTCGGCAGCACCGACTGGGGTGCTGATCGCAACATTTTACTTAATTTATATAGATCTCTAGTTAGATCTAAACTAGATTATGGCTCTGCAAGGAAGTTCTACATACAGATTCTCGATGATGTGCATCATCAAGGTTTGCGTCTCTGTCTTGGCGCATTTAAAACCTCACCAGTTGAGAGTCTGTATGTAGAGGCTGATGAGCACTCACTCTCTAACAGACGTTTGAAGCTTGGACTTCAATATGCTGTCAAACTAAAAGCCTACTCAGATAATCATGCCAATAGCTGTGTTTTTAATCCAATTTATGAAGATATTTTTGCAAAACATGAAAATAAAATTCCTCCGTTAGGTATACGTTTAAAACCACATTTAGCTTCTTTTGATTTAAAAACTGTTGCTCAAGTTGAAACTTGCAAATGTCCTTCATGGGAACTTCCCAAACCAAAAATGATATTTGATCTCCGTGAACACAATAAAAATAAAACAAATCCTCTTTTAATTCAGCAACACTTTGCTGAAATCAAAGCCAATTATTCAGATTTTTCAACTGTCTATACTGATGGATCAAAAGATGGTGACAGAGTTGCATCTGCTGCGGTCTTCAGGGACAGAGCTGCAACTCTCCGTTTGCCATCTGATGCATCGATCTTTACTGCTGAAGCAGAAGCAATAATTGTGGCTTTGAAATTTATCGCTTCTTCAGATAAATCCAAATTTATTATATGTTCTGAATCACTTTCATGCTTACAAGCTTTACAAAATACTAAAATTAAAAACCCAACAATTCTCTAAATTTTATATGTAATGAGGAATTAAAAAATTCTTCTTAAAGAAATATTATTTCTATGGGTGCCGAGTCCTGTTGGAATCCTTGGAAACACGGCTGAAGACCTTGAGGCAAAGAATGCCCTGGGTGACCCTTTATCTAATTGTGATATACCATATACCGATTTTAAATCTAATATTAGAGAATATGTTTTTAATATATTGAAAAATGAATGGAGTAAAAAAGATGATAATAAATTACTCTAATTTATATGTGACATTTAAATCATCCAATCACTCTAATGTCTTGATCAATATGTAAATATTATTATTGTACAAAAATTGTTTTATACTTGCAAAATCTTCGATAAGAAGGAAATAAAGTTAATAAATATACAACATTCGGGTTTCAACTTTTAACATTCGTTTTCAACATTCAACATTAGATTTTCAACTTTAAAAATTCGTTTTCGACATTCAACATTCGTTTTAAAATTTTCAACATCCAACATTCCTTTTTAACATTCAACATTCGCTTTCAATATTCAACCTTCGATTTTAACATTTGGATTTCAACTTTAAACTTTCGTTTTCATCATTCAACATTTGTTTTCAACATTTAACATTCCTTCTTTATATTCAACCTTCGATTTTCAACTTTCAACATTCGTTTCAACATTCAACAATCGTTTTTAACATTGAACATTCATTTTCAGCATCTGTTTTTAACATTTAACATTCGTGTTTAATATTCGATATTCGTTTTTCATCTTTCAACACTATATTTCAGTTTTCAACACTTTTTTTTAAATTTTCAACAATACTTTCAACTTTTAACATTCGTTCTCAACATTCAACATTGGTTTTCAACATTCAACGCTTGTTTTGAACATTCGATTTTCGACATTCAATATTTGTTTTCCACATACAATATTTGATTTTCAACATTCAACATTCAACATTCGTTTTCAACAGTCGATTTATAACTTTCAACATTCGTTTTCAATAGTCGATTTATAACTTTCAACATTCGTTTTCATCATTCATTATTCGTTTTCAACATTTAACTCTCGTTTTTAACATTCGATTTTCAACTTTCAACATTCGTTTTCAATATTTAACATTCCTTTTTAACATTTAACATTCGTGTTTAATATTCTAATTCGTATTCAACATTTGGATATCAATTTTAATATTCGTTTTCAACATTCAACATTTGCTCATTTTTAAAATTCAACATTCGTTTTCAACATTCAAAATTTTCTTTTTTATTAAATTCGTTCTTAACATTTTATTTTAACTTTTAACATTCGTTTTCAACATTCGACATTCGTTTTTCAACTTTCAACACTATTTTTCAACTTCCAATACTTTTTTTTTATTTTCATCACTTCTTTTAACATTCAACATTCCATTTTTAACTTTCAACTTTCAACATTCGTTTTTAACATTTAACAGTCGTTTACGTTTTCAGCATCCGATTTTCAACTTTCAACACTATTTTTTTCGTTTTCAACATTCAACATTCGTTATTCAACTTTCACAATTCGATTCCTAAAATAAACATTCGTTTTCAATATTCAATATTCGTATCCATCGTTGTCAGAATCCAAAACAGAACATTTTTCGGGGTTTCAGGGGTATTGAAATTGATTGGTATTGAATTATCACTACACAACACAATCAATTTTAAGAAATTGAAACTTAACTAGTACATTGTATCATATCAGAAAATCATATAACATTCAAATAAACTCATAATACCAGGATTAAATTTTATATTTACGCCAGACGCGCGTTTCGTCTACAAAAGCCTCATCAGTGACGCTCGAATAAAAAAATGTATAAAAGGCCAAACAAAGTACGAATTTGAAGAGCATTGAGGACCAAAAGTTCCTAAAAGTTTTGCCAAAAAACAGCTAAGGTAATCTATTCCTGAGGTAGAAAAGCCTATTTGTTTCAAAAAATCAAAGTTTTGTTGACAGTTTATTTATAATTATGAACATATCAATGATAACTCAAGTCAACACAGAAGTGCTGACGATGGGCTGGTGATACCCTCGGGGAAATAAAAATGCAATAAGTGAAAGTTATCCTTTAATATTTACATTGATTGATTGTTGGTTGCCTAAAGTCCAGTGGCAAATATTTAACCAAACTGAAATAGTTCTGACAAAGAAAGGGATTACACTAAGGCCAATGGAATATATCAAACTTAACCCAGCAAACAAAATAACGTTAGTATAACGTTGGTATAACGTAAACTTTATGTTATATTTACGTTACTGAGAGACGTTTATTTTACGTCATTTTGTAGACTCCGATCAACGTGGAAGTAACGTTAAAAGTAACATTACAAGAAACATAAATCAAACGTTATAGTAACATATCTGCTAACGTTGTTTATTAACGTAAATCCAACGTTAAAGTAACATTTCTTAGAATGTAATTTTTTTACAGAAGACTAACGTGGTGGTTACGTTTTTGAGAACGTTTATTTTTTATGTAAAACTAACATTAAAGATACATCTTTTTATAACGTTATTAATTTATGGAAGACTAACGTTTGATTAGTATTTCTTACAACGTTGTTTTTTTACAGAAGACTAACGTGGTGGTAATGTTTTTTTAACAATGTTTGTTTTTACTCAAAACTAACGTTAAAGTTACATTTCTGATAACGTTATTTATTTACAGAAGACTAACGTTAGAATTATATTTTTTACATTATTATTTATTTACGTAATATTAACGTTAGAGTAACACTTCTGATAACGTTATTCATTTACTGAAGACCCACATTAGTGAAATGTTTAAAAAAAAAAAAATCATTTACTTGCGTTTACCATAAATCAATTCCTGTCTTGTGAAATCTTAATGTTTTATGTTATTCCTGAAATTCTGTATAGATGGATATGGCAGATGTCTGTTTCTGTTTTATTCATTCACAACTAGTTTAGTGAATAGACATCTATGTTGTTGAAGACTATATGCTATATTATGTTCCCATCTAAATATAATTTGACTACTTTTGTTCATCTAGTTGCTGTTGCATTGATGTATACCTCACGTCTAAAAGAGAGGCGGGAGATACCTATGGGATAGTTAAACTAGAATAGTCGAAAAATAGCCGACAGTGCTTAAGGCACACTTAAAATTAAAGGGTCATCTTTTAATCTAAAGATTTACTTAAATGGTATTCCAATACAATTAAATGCACTCTTCTTTTTTTACCCTGCCTCTCAGCTCTTCCTTACTAGTATTTCCATCGAAAAGTTAGATCATTTTGACATTACTGTTGGTTGAAAAACTTGAGCTTCAGATAATAGAATACTCCAAACAAATGCATAAAGATGTGTTTTCATATTTAATTTGATCATATATTATGTATATATATTATACATTATCATATATTATTTATCATTTATATAATTTGTATCATTAAAGAGTCATTTAAAGAGTCACTCAGAGTCTGATATATCCTCTCTTCTTCTTGAAGCTGGTTTCTAAAAAACACAATAAAAAATAAATAAAGGCAATAGTAATGCAAATTTTAAAATGAATTTTATACATAATGAAAATAAATGTAAGTTTATTGATTTAATTAAACGAACCAACTTTAAACATGTAGTAGGCATGATTGTTTTATTAGTTATTATTGGTTTTGAACTAGCTGATGAGTTAAGCCCTTTTCAACTGATTTTTATAGTTTGTTCTTATGTTGTACTATAACACCACTGTCCCAGGTAAGGGGGAGGGTTTGGCGACAACAAACTTAGTTTAACCCCGTCACATTCTCTATGTGCCTGTCCCAAGTCAGAAGTAATTTAGTGGTTGTTGTTTGTTGCTGTATATCATATTTGTTTTTCATTCATTGTGTTGTACTTAAATCAAGCCGTTAGTTTTCGCGTTTGAATTGTTTAACATTTTGTCATTTCGGGGCTGACTATGCGGTATGGGTTTTGCTCATTGTTGAAGGTCATACAGTGACCTTTAGTTGTAAACTTCTATGTCATTTGGTCTCTGGTGGAGAGTTGTCTCATTGACAATCATACCACATCTTCTTATTTTAATATAAAAGCAGTTAACTTTATGAATAAAAATAAATTGTTTAAATTGAATATTAGGTCTTGGACAAACACTTTGCCTTCAAGTATCTTAAATAACTCCTCTCTACTTTCTGTTCTGATGACACTTACTGCAAGCAATAAAAAATGTCTACATTTGTAATATAGTATGGCAAATCTCATTTTGAAAAGGTTCATTTAAACATAAAATAGAATACATGTAGAAGAAAATAGAAATCCAACTTGTAGGCAAAATGCGGAAACAGGATCTGTTTTTTTATCTATTAAAAATGAATACTCTGTTTTAGGTTTTGTTACAAACATCTTTCTTATAGATAGTTTTAACATGCAAGCTCATAATGTCATGCAGAGACGCATTTTTCCATTATAATTCAGCAGCAGCAAACATTTCTGAATTCTTTATTTTTATGTCAACTTTTTTAATGTGAATGCACTACAAAATATCATCTACAGGTGGGTGTTTTTGTACAGTGAAATTGTAGGTGAAATTCTAAAATTGTCTCTTAAGATGGTACACCAACCTCAAAGTGCCTTTTGTGTGTACAAAGTATGTTTAAATGGAACAGCCCTAACTGCAATGTTATCCATGGGAAAATCTAATTTATTGTGGATTTTAAATATAACAGTCAAATATATATATGCAGTGAACACAATCTCTTGGTACTGTTCCAAAATTGATTGTGGTTTGGGGCATGGGATTCACTCAAATAAAATAATTGTGTGTGGTTGTATTTTCCTTTTAATTATAAGTAAAATGAAAATTTTATATCATAGGTGAATGGGGTCTTAATAATAACCCTCCCATGCCAACTCCCACCACCACTTTTCTGCATTTAATTTTCTGTAACGCCCTTATCTAAACGGGTTAAATAACAACAAAATAATAGATCTGATTATAATGATTTTTTTTTAATGCATAATTAGCAACAAAGATTATTAGTAGCATGTGTTTTTTTTATCTGGTCAGTCACAATGGTAACTATAGAGGCTCTCAAGAGCCTGTCGCGCTCATCTGTATCTACTGTGGTTTGGGAAATCAGGTAAAATAAGGTTAAAATCATAATAAATAGTATTAGATACCCTAATAATGATTGAAGCCAAGTTTGGTTTAATTTGGCCCAGTAGTTCAATCAAAAGCAGAAGATTTTTTAAAAAGTTTACAAAAATTACCAAAAAATTGCAAAAAATGACTTTAAAGGACAATAACTCCAATAAGATGTCAATTGACGATTTTGGTCATGTTGACTTATTTGTGGACCTTTCTTTGCTTGATATTTTTGCTGTTTACAGTATATCTCAATCTATAATGATATGCAAGACAAAAACTGCAAAATTTCCTTAAAACGAGATATCATTGCAAAAGGATGCTGTCATGAAAGTCTCCCAAACGAACATCAATTGAATACCCCTCCTCTCCAAAATTTATTTCACCCAGGGCCTGTATAATGCTGGAAATGCCTTTGTTTTTGGGAACACCCCTTCAAAAAAAATTTGGGCAGGGGTCTCCCTGACCCGCCAGGTCGGGAAGGGCATTCACCCAATATAAGTATGCTGAAAGAGACGATATAATAATGGTTTATAGAAAAGTAACACTGAATAATTCTGAAAATGGAAAATATTAAGCAGAAATTATAAGCACCCCCCCCTGAAAAAATTGCACCCTCCCATGGAAACAAATCAAGTCATCCCATTGTAGTCTTACAATAGTTACTGAAGACCCCTTATCATTATTTAAATTAGTTTTCAAGTTGTGACCAATTGAAATTGTTTTTTTACAATCATTGACTTCTATAGTAAACCCCTATGTTCTATTTTTAGCCATGGCAGCCATGTTGGTTGGACGGCAGGGTCATCAGATACACTTTTCAATCAAGATACCCTATTAAAAATTGTGGTTTTCAATCAAGATACCCTATTAAAAATTGATTGATTGATTGTTGGTTGCTTAACGTCCAGTGGCAAATATTTCATGCATATTCAGGACGAGAACAAGTTCACAATAAATACAATAGGTAGGTTCTGTAATAGGTTAAGGGATTAAGGTCGGAGAAATTTAGACTACCACGGGAAATGAGGGTATATTGGATAGGGGCAGAAATTTAGCCTTGCAACAGGTCACCTACGGACCCCTCAAAGAGTTGTTGCAAGGGTTCTTAACGTGCAAAGAGCGTGGCACTCTCTTTACACGAGGCATCGGATTTAACGTCCCCATTCTGACCGGACGTGGCTGCAAATTTGTACATCCCGCACAGCCAAACGGACGCCCCACTTTAGCACGGGTTTTACTGCCGGTCGGAGGAAGACCAATGGTGACCATACTTCTATTCCCCAGTCACCCTGGGGAAATTGAGGCTAAGTTTAATTCTATTTGGCCCAGTAGATTAAGTGGAGAAGATTTTTGTAAAAGATTACAAAAATTTACGAAAAATTGTTAAAAATTGACTATAAATTAAGGGCAATAACTCCTTAAGGGGTCAATTGACAATTTTGGTCATGTTGACTTATTTGTAGATCTTACTTTGCTGAACATTATTGATGTTTACAGTTTATCTCTATCTATAATAATATTCAAGATAATAACCAAAAACTGCAAAATTTCCTAAAATTACCAATTCAGGGGCAGCAACCCAACAACGGGTTGTCTGATTTGTCTGAAAATTTGAGGGAAGATAGATCTTAACCTGATTAATATTTTTACCCCCATGTCAGATTTGCTCTAAATGCTTTAGTTTCAGAGATATAAGCCAAAAACTGCATTTTACCCCTATGTTCTATTTTTAGCCATGTCGGCCATCTTGGTTGACGGGCGGGGTCATCGAACAAATTTTTAAACTAGATACCCTAATGATGATTGTGGCAAAGTTTGGTTAAATTTGGCCCAGTAGTTTCAGAGAAGAAGATTTTTGTAAAAGATTACAAAAATTTACGAAAAATTGTTAAAAATTTACTATAAAGGGCAATAACTCCTTAAGGGGTCAATTGACAATTTTGGTCATGTGTACTTATTTGTAGATCTTACTTTACTGAACATTATTGCTGTTTACAGTTAATCTCTATCTATAATAATATTCAAGATAATAACCAAAAACTGCAAAATTTCCTTAAAATTACCAATTCAGGGGCAGCAACCCAACAACGGGTTGTCTGATTCGTCTGAAAATTTCAGGGCAGATAGATCTTAACCTGATGAACATTTTTACCCATGTCAGATTTGCTCTAAATGCTTTAGTTTCAGAGATATAAGCCAAAAACTGCATTTTACCCCCTATGTTCTATTTTTAGCCATGTCAGCCATGTTGGTTGGCAGGCAGGGTCATCGGACACATTTTTTTAACTAGATACCCCAATGATGATTGTGGCCAAGTTTTCAGAGGAGAAGATTTTTGTAATAGTTAACGGACGACGGACGCCAAGTGATGAGAAAAGCTCACTTGGCTCTTTGGGCCAGATGAGTTAAAAATGTGGACAACTCTGTTATGTCTGAGCGTTGTTCATATCAAGGTAAACGTTGACAACTCATATCAAGTTATTTTTTTGCTTTTTAAAACCGTAAAAACACAGGATTGTTAGCTATCATTGGTACAAAGAAGATGTTTCTGTTGATTGATGCACCACTAGTTATTCTTCCAAGATTTCTGTACGAGTGCGGTAATTATTTGATGCCACAAACAGTTTATAATAAAATATATAACAATTTACCTTGTATTTAGGTCCTCCCGGCATATGAGGAGCATGCTTTAACACCTCAATCATGCAATCTTCTATTTCCTGTCTTTTGCACTTGTGCAACTTAAAACATGCTCCTGAAATAAAAAATGATATTTTCATACAAGAGTACACACGCTAAAATGTCTCGCCTGCTTTACTGACCATTGACTTTATGACGAAAGTAAAAAAGACAAAGGTTGTACAACAAGTATCACATAAACTTAACATTTTTAAAGATTCATGACAATAAGGTCAAGGTCAGATTAATCCTGTCAGACAGATATGTACACCTTACAATTATTCCATGCACCATATGTAGCTGACCTATTGCTTATGGTAATTAAAAACAGACCAAAACACAAAAACTTAACATTTACCAATGAACTATAAAAATGAGGTCAAAGTCAGATGATACCTGCCAGACTGACATGTACCCCTTACAATCATTCCATCCACAACATATAGTTGACCTACTGCTTATAGTATCTGAGAAACGGACCTAATCATGCAACTTTATCCTTGATCACTGATACATGAAATGAGGTCAAGGTCTGGTGAAAAACATAAATCCTTAAAGACCTTTTTTTTCTTCTCTTTTCATGCTTCATTCTGTCAGGTGGTTCAGGATACAAAAGCTGGATGGATGGAAGGGCCCACAATATACTGCCTACTTCAGAAAGGGGGAATAAATAAGTATTTTGATCTACACCCATAATATATTTGTATCTGGAACAGCCCTAGTGTACTTACTTATAAGAACTCTGTACAAGTTATGGTCCTGAAAGACCTTTTTCCCCTTTTTTCCCCTCAAGCTGTACAAAGATAGTATATTGTTAGTCACTGTTTTCTTCAGAATATTTCTCACTGTTTCTAGACATGTCGCTCCTCCAAAAGCAATAAGGAAAGATGCCTATTAGGGAGAAAAAAGAGCAATTTTATTTATATGAGAATAAAAAGGGGAAAAAATATCTTTATTGAATACAAGGATGATCAAAGAAATGTTTCTTCAAACAACTCATATTACTGCTAAAGGAGATAGTTCTATACAAAAACAAACAAACATTAATTAAATTTTAAGTACTGAGGTAGTATCATGAAGTTTTTTTACAAATTTATAAATTACCACAATATTTTATCATGCAAGACATATTATTCCCCAGTTTTTCTAAAAAAAATTACTGTCCTAATAATGTTATGTAGAAAAAGGATTCAAAATGGGAAATTGAAGCAAATTTCAAAAGGGGAATAATCTAATTATACCTTAAGATCAGTGGGTTCCAGTATTATTTCAAAAATTAATTAGGGGACATCCAATAAGGGATCATAAATTTATTCTTAAGAGAAAGCTCAGAGCTTTTCAAGATTGCTCTTTTCGGCAGTTCATGCAACACAAATTAAATCCATAGCACTTCTATCGATAAAAAAGTATTAAAAGCATTGTGGAGTTATCACAATTTATTTATTTTAATAGATAAGAAATATTTCAATATGACTGAGTTGTAAAAGCATACAAACTTTCATCAAAATCCAAAATATTGCCAAATAAAGAGTATTTTACCTTAATACAATTAAAATAGTTCATTTTCAAATACAATGTATGAGGCTGGCGAAGAATTTTATAATTAAACTATATAGAGTTTTTTTTATTAGGCGATGTTCTAATCTTTTCTGATATAAATATTGTGTATGAATTTGACAGGAAATTATATAAAGACAATTTAATCAAAATAATTTATCCAACTTGTCAAAAGTAGTTTAATGCATGCAGAAGAAGTGAATTATTATAATTATACCAGTTTCTTAAAAATGAATTTAATATCAATAAAAGTATGACAGAAAATCTATCTCCATGTATATTATTCCTTCAAAAAATTACTCTCTTACCAATTTCTTTCTGGACTGCTTCTCCTCCAATTTAATTCCCCATTGGATGAAATCCTCAAGAGAATTTACTGGAGAGGGAAGCAAGTCTTCTATTTCATCATCTACTGCTGCTCCGGAAATGAGGGCAAGCTCTGCCTGGATGTTTTCTTGATTCTTTACCACATGTTTAAGGGTGCTCAATACTATCCGTTCAAAACCTGGAGCAATATAATATGTATTACTAAAAAGGTTAAAAGTTTTATCCAGCCAAGAAAAGCCCCAAGCCCCCCTCCCATGAAAAAATCAAAAAGAAAACAAGAATGTGTCCATAGTACACGGATGCCCCACTCGCACTATCATTTTCTATGTTCAGTGGACCGTGAAATTGGGGTAAAAAATCTAATTTGGCATTTAAATTAGAAAGAACATGTGTACTAAGTTTCAAGTTGATTGGACTTCAACTTCATCAAAAACTACCTTGACCAAAAACTTTAACCTGAAGCGGGACAGACAGACGAACGAACGGACGCAGAGACCAGAAAACATAATGCCCCTACTACTATCGTAGGTGGGGCATAAAAAAGAAAAGAAAAAAGGAATGTTAGTCAGACTTGCCTGATATGGATTGTATAAACCAAATATTGAAAACTGCTATGAGAATAAGATGCCAAAAAACAGTTGACTAGTTAACCTTATTAAGAATTTCTTATTTAACATATCAAAAAAACAACTTGTAAGAAATGCAGGGGCCTTGGTGGCCGAGTGGTCTAAGTAGTCGAACTACTGTATCACTAGCCTGTCAACACAGAGGTTGTGAGTTCCAATCCAGCACGTGGCAGGTGCGCTCGACTCCAATCTTAATTGACTAGGATTGTCAGTTTTCCTACCTTAGGTCGGTGGTTCTCTCGGGCTTCCTCCACCAATAAAAACTGACAGCCACGAAATAGCACAATAGTGCTGAAAGATGCGTTAAACACCAATCAATCAATCAATCAATGTAAGAAATGCAAACTTTTCAAATTCAGTGGACATTGGGATAGGCAGGATAAATTCGATGTAAAGGAAATGCTACAAAGCTACTACAACTTTATACACATTATCACAGACTTATCATAAATAGAAGACTTAGGCATAAAACTTAGGCCAAATCAACCAATACTGTATATAATATGTAGTTTTTAGAACTACCAATTAAGTATATTTTTGAGATAAAAACCATAATTTTACACGGATGAATGTTCATTAAATTTCTATATTCATGTGTGGGGCAGAAAAAAAGTATCTGACCATAAGTTATGTATTTTCTAACTAATTATAAACTGTTCATTAATGAACTTAATTGTGTCATTTCACAAAATTGTTGTGACACTATTCCTTAGATGAATTTGAATAAAACATATAACAAATATTTGAACTATATTACTTTCCAAGGCTGTTTTTTTTGCAGAAATTACCTGCATTTCTTTCAATATTACTTACTGCTTGTGTTTTCTGGTAAATTTAATCGACCTTCCTCATTTGAATGGGGACATATAGTTGGACCCCCCCTTTTTTTTGACGATCAATGCATTTGAATGGGGACATATAGTTGGAACCCCCCCTTTATCCTGGGTTGGGAACCCCCCCTTTTGAAAATGGCTGGATCCGCCCCTGTAGGTTATGTTATAAGAACGTTATGTAAATGTTGAAGCTTGACGTATTGAAAAAACATTACTTTTACATTGTAATGACGTTTAAATCAACGTAGATTTAGGGTTTTAGAAGTAACCTCATATTAACGTAAGAACAACGTATTTTAAAGAACGTTATGAGAATAACATTTTGATTATGCTTGTATAATTAATAAATAAAAATAATCATAATATTAAATAATTTAAAGGGTTAGTCATATTTATTCATAAGATTGGGTTGAAATTATATTTTAAAGTACATTTTCCATCGCCTCCTTATTGGCTCAGTTTTTAAGAAATTTCACATGTTGAATTGTTGGTATGACCGTGCGAAGAACGACTTTTTTAATGTTAAAACAACGTTCAATTAACGTTACAATATTACGTTATAACAAGGTCAATAATTGAACGTTTCTCATGTTATGTTATAAGAACGTTATGTAAATGTTGAAGATTGACGTATTCAAAAACGTTGTTTAAACATTGTAATGACGTTTAGATTAACGTTGTATTAGGGTTTTAGAAGTAATGTCGACATTTAACCTAATATTTACGTAAGAACAACGCATTCAAAAACGTTATGGGAATAACGTTTGCATTATGCTAGTAAAATAACTAAATATAATCAAAATAATTTAAAGGGTTAATATGTTGATAATGTTTGAAAAACATAGATTTAACATTATATTTTAAAGTACATTTACCCTGCCTCCTAGGCTCAGTTTTTAAGAAATTTCACATGTTTAATTGTTGGTATGAGGAAGAACGACTTTTTTTAATGTTAAAACAACGTTCAATAAACGTTACAATATTACGTTAGAACAAGGTCAGTAATTGAACGTTTCTCATGTTATGTTATTAGAACGTTATGTAAATGTTGAAGATTGACGTATTCAAAAACGTTGTTCAAACATTGTAATGACGTTTAAATTAACGTAGGTTTAGGGTTTTAAAAATAACGTCGACAATTAACGTCATATTTACGTAAGAACAACGTGTTTAAAGAACGTTAAGAGAAAAGCATTTGCATTATGCTTGTAAAAAATGACAAATCAATATAATCAAAATGATAAAAAGGGTTGATATATTGATCATGTTTAACTAACATAGATTTAACATTATATTTTATTGTACATTTACCCTACCTTCTAGGCTCAGTTTTTAAGAAATTTCACATGTTGAATTGTTGGTATGATGAAGAACGACTTTTTTAATGTTAAAACAACGTTCAATTAACGTTACAATATTACGTTATAACAAGGTCAGTAATTGAACGTTTCTCATGTTATGTTATAAGAACGTTATGTAAATGTTACAAATTAATTGTACTCTAAAAATGTTATTCAGACGTTTTACTGTGGTAATAATTTTACGTACTAATTTGGTTTTTTAAATAACGTTGATATTTTAACATTACTTGAACGTGAGTACAACATTACAAATTAGACGTTAGGATTATAATGTTAATTTAACGTTATATAAACAAAACAAAATAACGTTACCAATTGGTTTCTAGGTAACGTTTAGTTAGAACGTTTTAATAATGTTAATTTAACGTTATATCTTAACATAACGTAAATCTGACGTAAACATAACGTTATACAAACGTTACGTGTTTGCTGGGAAAGACGTGGCCTTTGTGATAGATTTCGTTCCCGAACTGAACTCTGTCGTTCCTTGTCCATATAGTTTGGATCATTTAAATCAAGTAGGCTGTTTAGAATGCATCGAATGCAACCCTCACTGAGCAGACATGTGAATATTTTATCTGTGAATCAGACATGCTGAAATGCTATACTTTTGTCTGTGTTAGTGAATGACATTGTGTAGGCTATTATTTTGAAAACATACATTTTTGTTATATTTAATAATGTATAATATACTAGTATAATGTAAATATATGTTTTTATATTATGTATTGTAATATGTGGAATTTTACTAGTATTGTTTGCTTTAAAAAACATGAGACCTCGAGCAGTATTTTTCTGTTTCATTTCGGCCTTATTTCAAAAATATTCATGCAAAGAGAAGTACTTTTTTTTCGAGATTTCATGTTATCGGCACATTAAGTGCAGGCTTCCGTAGAGGCACAAAGACATGAAAATGTGCCACAAACAAATGTGTCTGTTGCTGCTAACCTGGCAACGAATTTCGATGATGTCAGAAAGACGATGGGAGTAGAGAAAAAAAAGAAGAAAGCCAAGGGACGACCAACCGATATCGTCCAGCTTAAAATAACATGCTTATCTACCCCTAACACAACACAGGTTAACCGGTTGGACATTGGTCGCATTAAAAGGATGGGAATAGGTAGTGAAACTTGTTATTTATTGGAAAACTTGAGGTTATAAATTAAGACATACATAATTTGTGCATTCGGATTTATGATCTCTAATCATTATGATGCTCATATTTACATATTTGTAGGAAAATATTATTGATGCTTGCCTTCTTAATTTCTAGCATCTTTATTCCCTATTTTTAATGTTGGAGTTACCTCCCTTTTACAATGGCTGTTTTTCATAGCAATAGAAATCTTGTACTGAACAGATAGGATAAAAGTTCGCTTTTCATTTGTATTACTAATTTTAGCGGCCTTGTCATCTCAATGCAACTCACAAAGACTGGAATTAATTTATTCAAAATATATTCATAATAATGGTCTTACTCACAGTTTTCAGTAAATTAGAAGAAACCTTTAATAATGAAGAAGAGATTATTTTCCGGGAGTTTTACCTATCAATTGCACTTTAAAGAATAAAAGACATGAGTGTGTGATATTTATTTATATAGCTATAAGTATATTTTGTATTCCAGACAGTATTAGAACCATGATATATGTGACAATTCCAGCTTTGCAGCTTTATGCGTATCATAATACTAATTTACATTTTCCACGTTTTTCAATTCATATTTAGAAAATAAGAAAAATAAAAATCTGTTATACAACGAATATTATTATCTGAAATAAGTAATGGATTGATTTGAACCATTCCTGATCTATTTTGTGTCACTGAAACTTAATAAAAATCAAAGGTGACAAAAAGGCACAAGAAAAAGAAAAAACAAGAAGACAAATGATTTTCAGCTGCACAGCAACTGAAGTGAAAAACGTCTTGGTAATACAAATGCAAGAGAGGCAGTTAGAAAAATTTAAATAGGATGGTTTGACTATGAATATGCAGACAATGCATATCACAAAGTGAAAACCAAAAATGAGGGAAGAGCCAGAGATGTATTTTCTCCTAAATCCTTGCTTACAAACAATATAGTGGACCATGGGAAGAAATTGGGTTTTTTTTTAAATGAAAAGTCCAAAAGGGGCATAGTAATAGTAAATCGTACGATTATTTTTGTGAAACGATAGCCAGTTCTTCGTAAAGTATGTCTGTCATGGGCTTGGATATTCATTGTAGTGAGAAATATCAACCAAATCCCAAGATGTCAAATTGATCAGCCAAATACGATCATGTTTTAGTTGACTTTAGATTTTACGATAGTATCTTTGTATTTAAAACATTTTATCTTGTATGCAAATTATTGTATTGGTAGTATGACAATGTTTAATGCATGAATGTTCTTATCTTATCTACCATCAAACTAAAATTATATATGTCTGTATCTATATTAATGATGACTTTAGGTCCATTAGGTGTAGCAACAACTACACCCTGAATCTTAATCATAACAATTCCTTGGTATTTCTGTTGTTAAAAAATGTGGGGTGAAACGAGCTGATGTTAACTATCCTTGCTGACTGACTGAACATCTGAGCGATACTACAAACCACCCGTCATATACCGTGGACCTGATGTTGTGGAGAACTTTATCCGTCATCTTCTTGAAGAGAAGAAAGAAATTAAAGACATACTAAGCCGCATCGAGCCAATGATAGTAACTGAGTATGATAAATTAGACTAAAAATATGCCAAAAAATTTTATGTATGTAAAAAAAACCTTCAGCAGCAAAAATTACAAAGTCAAGGACCATGACCACGTTTCGGGGTCAATTCGTGGAATTTCGTGTAATAAATGCAATTTACAGATCAAAATACCAAAATTTATACCTGTTGTTATTCATAATTTGAAAGGATTTGGTGCAAATCTCATCATGAGTAAAATATGAAAGTTTAAGGAACAAGACATCACTGTTATTCCACAGAACAAAGAAAAATATATGTCATTTTCTATAGGAAATCTCCGTTTTATCGATTCTTTGCAATTTTTAAACAGTTCACTGGCAACTTTAACAAAAAATCTAGCTGACGAAGGAAAAACATTTTAAATACTTATCTAAAAGTTTTCCGGATCCAGATGTATTTTCTCTATTGCTACGAAAAGGAGTATTCCCCTATGATTATGTCGATACCGAGCAGAAATTGGAAAAACCTTGTTTACCATCCAAAGAAGAATTTTTTTAACAAATTAGGAGACACTCACATATCTGATGAAGATTATCAATTTGTGCAAACAGTGTGGGACAAACTGAAAGTAAAAACATTAGGGGAATACTCCGATGTGTATCTTAAAATGGATGTAGCTCTTTTGGCGGATGTTTTTGAAAAATTTAGAGACATTTCTTTGCACGACTATGATTTGGATCCGTGTCATTATTTCACCACACCCGGATTTAGTTGGAGTGCCATGTTGAAGAAAACTGGAATTGTACTCGATTTAATCAGCGATATAGATATGATGCTGTTTATAGAGAAGGGAATACGAGGCGGTGTATCTAGTATTTTTCATAGATATGCTAAAGCAAGCAATCCATACTTATTCGATACGTATGAACCAAATGAACCTACTTCCTATTTATCTCGCAAACAATTTATATGGTTGGAGCATGTCTCAATGTCTTCCGTATGGTCACTTCAACTGGCTTTCCGAGGAGGAGAAAATAAAATTAGATATCACAAAATTAAAAGTTGACGGTTCAGAATGATACATTTTCGAAGTTGACCTTGAATATCCTTCGTCACTTCATTCTTCTCAATCCGATTTTCCTTCAGCTCCAGAAAGAAAACATATTCAAGTAGAACATTTATCTCCATATTCAAAGGAATTATTGCAAAATTTAACTGGAAAACAATGTTTGACAAAGATAGAAAAACTCGTTCCTAACCTATACGACAAGGAAAAATACATAGTGCATTATAGAAACTTACAACTATACGTAGAGTTAGGAATGAAGATCAAAAAGATACACAGAGTACTCAAGTTTAAACAAAGTCCCTGGTTGAAGAAGTACATAGACTTTAACACAGAAAAAAGGAAAAATGCAAAGAATGAATTAGAGAAATGTTTATATAACCTGTTAAATAATTCAATTTTTGGTCGGACTCTCCTCAATACACGCAACCATAAAGATGTGAAACTTTGTCACACGGAAGAGAAACTAAATAAAGAAACAGCTAAACCATCCTACGCATCTTGCAAAATATTTAACGACAATTTGGTAGCAGTGGAGAAAAATCGTGTGAATGTTTTAATGAAACAACCAATATATGTAGGTTTCTGCATTTTAGACTTATCCAAGTTATATCCAAGTTATTGATGTATGATTTCCATTATAACCATATGAAATCTCTTTATGGTGATAAAATTCGTGTGTGTTTTTCCGATACTGATAGCTTTTTATATCACGTTGAAACGGAAGATGTGTATGAAGATATGCATCAATATCAATATATGTACGATACGAGTGATTATCCTCCAGAACATTTTTTTACATGACACCGAAAATAAAAAAGTAATAGGCAAATTCAAGGATGAAACAAGTGGAATTCCAATAAGTGAATTTGTTGGACTGAGATCGAAGATGTATTCATTTTCTTTTGAAGGCGAAGAAAAACATCCTGCAAAAGGAGTAACAAAATCTGCATCCAGGAAACTTAAACATGAAATGTACAAAAATTGCCTTTTCAATCAAACTGTTACACGTTCTGAAATAAATATAATAAGAAGCGAAAGCCATGTTTTATATACTAAAACTATTAATAAAAAATCATTAGTTCCTTTTGATGATAAAAGATGGATTTTAAATGATGGTGTGACAACGAGAGCCTTTGGACATGAAGACAACATATAAACAAATGACATTTTTTATCATGTAAAAACGTTTAAGGAAATTTCAAGTCTTATAACTATTTCGTATATGATTATTATTTTTGTTCATTTTTTTTTGTATATCAAAATTTGTGGTGATTTAAATACGATTTTAACATATAGTGAGGGAGATTATTATTTGTTCATTTGAGGGTTTTTTGTATATATGTAGTTTATTAAATGTTCAAATATTCATTGATTTTTTTTTGGTTTTGTTTGTTTTTGTTTTCTTTTAGTCAAATGTGTATTAATAACAAGAGCAAAGAAGTGGGATTTTTTTTTTTATATCAAAATTTGTGGTGATTTAAATACGACTTTTACATATAGTGAGGGAGATTGTAGATGCATCTTATTTTTATTATAATTTATTGTATATTGTATTCGATAGTATTAATTCAGTTTATTATTTTGTGTATGCCAAAATTTGTTTGTTGGTAATTTAATTACTTTTTTCTTGTAATGTATTTTACATCTATGTTTTTTTTTTTTTTTTTTTTTTTTCGCATCCTATCTGATTCAAATAAAACAAAATATATAAATGAATACAGTCGTTTATTTTCGTTCATTTGAATATATTTATCAGTAAAACACACAATATAAAAAAAAAGACATATGTACACATTAAACAAACAGTTATAGTCATGATAAGTCCAATTCACATGGAAATGTTAGTGTTCAATCTTTATTTGTCGATTCTCGGTTATTTCAAAGTATCCAGAGTTTTCAGCTAAAATCAGTAAGGTAGCTGTTTCTGGTAATGGAGTACCGAACTGACATTCCAATCGTATTTTCCCCTGCTTCAGTAGTGAAAGATATTTGGTATCCGAAAAGAATGGTTCTAAGTTGAAGCATAGCAGCGTATATCCATTGTTGAATTCAGCCCTTGTTATTTCATTCCCCGTATCCAACATCCACTTTCCCCCTGTTTCAAACATTTTTACATAAGGAGAAACGTTCGATGCACCGCTATTCTCGTTGAAATCAAGTTTGAGTGGTATACCATCAACTGGTATTCCGTCACAAAACAGAGTCACCTGTTTTAAATCATAATTCTTAAAGTTAAATGGGGTTTTTGTATATGCTCCAGACATAGCATTTGAAGAAACCAATCCAAGCACAATACTTTTCGGTCTCACATCTTGGAAAACATTTTCTACGATTAACGAGGTACTTCCTTGCATTATTGTTAAATTTTTCATCATGGTTTTTGTGAAAGGATACTTAGCACTTGTTGTCTTTAAAGCTTCTGAATGAGCGACAATTATAGCTGGGTTAGGTCTGATCTTGCAAAGCTTTATCACGACATCTTCCAAAGAAATATGATAGTTAGTTTCAATTTCTCCAGACATTTAACAAAAACTTGGATCGTTGCTGTATAATTTTAGTTTAAGGGATAACATATTTAGCAGGTATCTATCCATCTCAAAGATATCAGAAAAAACTGGTCCCTCCATTTCTAATGTTTTCGAATTAGAAATAAATTTTCTGCGTTCATACAGTCCAGTGTTAGTCGATATTTCATCCATGTGACCATATCTGTCTTTTAAGTACAGACTAGAAGATAATTGTGTGCTCTTTGCGTCTTGGCCATACTGCAGTAATGTTTTCATCATACATTTATACGGGTAATACGTATTACTAGACGTTACCATTTGTCCTTGTATATAAACATCCAATTGCGACCAAAGCGATTGTAAAATTAGGTCACAGGTCCTACCGTTTCGCCATCTTGTAAATCTTCACCATTTGCTTTTTTCACTTTCAATTTCACGTATAGTTTCGATCTTTTAAGATCTATATAATCCATACCATTGTTTGCATAGATCGAATTCTATAGGATTGTAAGCTGTTATTTGACTAACAGGTCTGCATTCCTCGTATGTTATACTTTCAAAACCTACTTGATATGGAGGTATCTTAAAAATCTGTAACTCTGGCGGTTGTGCTTCAATAAAATTCTCTTAAGTTAACAAAGACATTATGTTGAAAATATATCCCTTTTATGTTTTTTAACAGTTTTATCTTTTTTCGATTTTTTCGTCTTCTTTTCACCTCCTCTGCTTTGTGGCGAATGATGATTTTTTTTCGCTTTCTTTTCTTTTTATTTATACTCTCATCGTCATTTTTAATCTCTTCTTTTGCTTGATTAACAATTTGTTCACTAGGCGACACTAACCGTACATCAAAGTTGTTTTCTTTTTCAACACGAATTGGATAAGATTTATTCGAAATTGGAATCATAAACGATACCGATTGTGATCCTTTATTATGTCCATTTTTCATATGAGCTACGTAAGCGTTCGATTGACCAGAAATTACATTCTGATAATATCTAGACCATAGATCAACATTAGGAATGTACATTTTATCAATGTTCGACATATCTACGCTAAAATACGCTTGGTATAAATTTTAGTGTAAAAGACAAATTATTTTTCAAAAATGAAGCGTTTTCTCCGTGTTCATCTTTTATAAGAAATTCTAAGACTTGAATTTCGTTTTTCTTTACCGGTAAATAAATTGGAGACGAAAATAAATAATTCCATGTGGGAAATATTCTTCTTAAAAGTGAATATTGTATATGGGGAAAAACATTCACTCCACTGCATACATCACAAAACAAGTATAATTGATGATTGTTCTTTTTTGTAACTTTTTGATATCACTCTCGTTGTCTGAATTAACGTCTTTAGGTGCAATGTTTTGTAGACTTCGATGAGGAGTACCATTATAGCTTTTTGCAAAATTTTGCAAGTTGTTAATATATCTGTGTGTTCTGTTCTTTGAGAAAAAGCGAAACATTTTATTTTTTATAGTTTGTAAGACTCTTTCAGCATAATTTGCGTGAAGTTCATTTTGAGCCGAAAAATGGCGGACACCATTCCTTTTAAATAACGACTGTGTCTTTTTGGCTAGAAATTCTTGTCCCTTATCTGTTCGATTTTTTTCCGGTTTTACCTCACTAAAAATCTTTTTAAATGCAGAGGTGACTTCATCTCCCGTTTTATTTTTCAATGGTTGTAACCAAAGGTAGCGTGAGAAACAGTCAACAACAACTAACACGTATTTGTAATTTTCATTTTCTTGTGAAAATTGTTTAAGATCCATCAAATCGGCGTCCCATAAATATTCAACCCCGTGGTATACACTCTTATTCTTTTAAAAGAACGACGAGGTGTTTTTTGTTAACTGTAATTATCTTGTGAATTCAACCACCGTTTAATTTGATGCCTACCAACTTTTTTCCCATCTGCATTTACGATATGATACAGTTTTTCGGTAGAAGCATATGAAGCTGGTCCACCAACATCATTATAGTATTTACTTAGGAGAGTATCTAGTTCCTCATTCATACTTAACTCAATTTGAACTGAATGTATAAAAAAAAACAGTGTTTCAATAACTGAAATTAGTATGTCTTTTGATTTCAGATATAAAAAAAGTTTTCATTAAGGAATGTAAATATTTGCATCTTTTTAATTTCTTTTCGATTCTTATACAAGTCTCTACCTAAAAAAAATACCACTACATCAATAAATAAGAAATACAAAAAAAATTATGTTTACATAATTTATTACAAAATTTATCACAAAAATAATGATGTTTTCCATTAAATATTGTCTTCCATTCCATTCCATCTTTTATTCAAATGCTTAGTTGTCTATTTCCATATTCTGTAAAACACAACAAAATTAATTAGTCAAAAATCATCACTTTACCAAAAGTCAACACTATAGTATTATATTTAAATCACGTGACATTTGACATGACATAATCGGAAAAAGAAAGAAAAAAATGGTCGCCATGTTGCTTTTGAGTTTGTTATTTTGCATTCAAAGTGTTGTAAATGTAGGAGCTGTACATACATCATCTTGCTATAGAGTGGAAGATTTGATTTTATAGATTGTTCGAGGGAAACAGAAGAGAGCTTTCAGGGAGAGGTAGCAGATGATGTTGTAAACATTCGCTTCAACCATATACAGAGCAAAGATCAACTTGAAGATGTGAAATTTACGAAGCATGTTATCATAATGTTGGAAGAATCGTTGAATTTGTGTGGTGATATTAATCATAAACTGATGATGGTAGACGGGAAAATGTGTACAGTAAGTCTACATTCATTTTATTTGAATGGTAAAATATAACACAATAAAAATATTGACATACATGAATATTCATGAAAGACTTCTAGTTATATTTCAGTCACGTGATAAGTAAACATTTCTAGAAATAATATGAATCTCCCCGGTTGTCGAGTATAGTAGATCAGTGAATGAAATATCTAAATTACAACATGGTTAAACTTCAACCGTTATTAATAACAATGACTGTCTTCATAACGGAGTTTATATACCTTGTTCCTCATCTAATAAGAAGTCTATTCATCTTCCCAGTTATTTCTCTTTCTCTTATAAGAGTATACATGCATATTCTACTTCTAAACCCATAACTTACATCATTTTCATCATCTGAAGTGATGTCTATCAACTTTCTCTTCTTGTTCTGTAGAATAAAAAGTATCATCATTAGATATAATGTATTAAACATTTATATATATAAAAAAACAACCTTGGAAGTAAGGTATTAAAAACATCTTTGTTTTCATTTACTCATTTTTTTTTATTTGCTTTACAATTATTTGTTTATTGGATGAATCTGGTTTTTTTCTTCTTCTTTCTTTTTATTACTTATTACCAAAAATCAAGATGTACTAACTAATGATGGTTTGGAGTCTACATTTTGACTCCCCCTGGGCTGACTCATGTTGGTTAAATCAAGCTGTTGAATAGAAATTTAAAAAACATTTAAACATTTACACATGATAAAAAAAAAACAATAAAGCATGCAATGGATATTTTATTTTTTTACTTTAACCCTTTCTTAATAATATTGTTAACATTGTATAAATTGTATTACTTATAATGAGTTAAATTTATACATACACAGTAAGGATCTTTCTCTTCATTTTTTGTTAAGTCTATCATCTACAAAATAAACATGTATAGCTTTAAAATAAGAATATACACTATCATCTACAAAATAAACATGTATAGCTTTAAAATAAGAATATACAATCTTTTATGATGAAAATTAACTTTACACATATACTTTAAATTGACATATTAATTTTCTGAAAGCTCATTATATATATAAGAAATATTAAATTTATAAATAATACATAAATTTTTGACAATATATAAAAAATGTATTTTATGTTTCAGGTCCATGAACCTTTCAATGGTATTCAAACAGCCGGGAAGGTTTCATAAAAGAAGAGGTTTTTATGTATATAGGGTCCACATTCATTTTCATGATATACTGTTGGATTTTACTTGTAATAACACATGTTATACTTTCGATACATTTTTTTTTACAATATAACGATAATACTGAAACTATTTTATTTGCTGTATTAACGAGGATAAAAAAAAGTTTTGTTTCCAGTTTTTGGAGAAAAAAATAATTTGTTTTTGATCACCCTTAGTCAAATAAGAAGACAATAGTAACACGCTTTAATAAAAGTGATGATGGATGTGGTAACATTTTTTTTCCTGGTTAGAACGCATACAACATTAATGTAGAGACCTGACAGAATAACAATATCTGCATGATACAGGATAATAAGCCTCTAATTTCAGCCTCGACTGTGTGTTGTAAACATGTGAAATTAGTTAAGGTGGGGTTCAGGTAATTTCAGTCATGCGATATACAGGTAGATAAAAAACTTTGTCGTTGATAGTTCTGAGAAATTTTAATTAATAAGGTGTCTTTATACTGTGAATTCGATAACATAATGCCTCTTACAACATAGTTATACGGCATTCATAGATACGTTTAAAAAGAATTATATCTCAATTTTAAATGTAAGTTAATGTTTAGTACCAAATGTTAACATCACATTAACAACAAAATTTGTTCGTGTCAAACACATTTTATTAGCTACGTCACACAGGTATGTAGAAAATAACTTTGTCGTTGCTACTACTTGAAGTGGAAACAGTTTAATCACAAAAATTCTCAACTCCGAGTAAAATTCAAAATAGAGGCTCTCAAAATCCTGAGCCACTCAACTGACTGTACTTAGGTTTTAGAAATTATATAAAAAAAAGATAAAAATCATATACAGTCACAATCTCCCACGACTGGAACTGTTACCTTCTGTAAATCCCTTCTCTATCAGGAGAATCTAGAGTTCATCCATTAAAATTTCACTATATTTACACCTGTTTCCAGTCACTACATGATCTTTAAACAATTTTTATCTATTTACAACCTATGAGTTTGGTAAACCTTACAACTTTTAAATGTTCATTTACTTTCAAGGAGCGCACTACGCTTTTCATGGAGAGAGTAACACAGGCTTCTAGTAATCGATTCCACCAAATTCATGTCATTTTTCTCTAACACATAGTACCAATCGAAAAGACTACACTCCCAAGATTAATTTTAGAACTACCTTTACGTCCCTACTCAATTTAAGGTTAGTGCTAAAAGCACACCGACACCCTATTTTATCACCACAACTGCCACGACACACGGCATATTCTTTCAGAATGAAGGACAGAAAGTCACAGGACAATTTCCTAGGAAAAAAATGTACAGTATTATGTGTGATAAAAAATAAACTAATGATTTGACAACAGAATATGTCCATGAAAAAAAACCCAGAATATTTCCATGAAAAAAAACAACAGAATATGTCCATGAAAAAAAAAAACAACAGACATCACATTGACAAGTACTGTATTAACCAAATTATTTTTTTTTAAATTGTAGGACAAACACCTCATTCAGCATTAAACAAGAGGAAGAGTTAAGTGCCATGAGGCACATAGAAACCATAATACAACACAAAAATTGAGGACATGGCTGCAAAGATAGAACATGAAAATCATGTGCAAGAGAATAGAAGAAAACAATTAAGGAAAGACAGAAGTTTAAGGAATATGATACATGATAGACTATACAATTAAAACTTTGACTGTATATTATTCCAATGGATTGCGTATAATATATTTTATTCTTGTTGGGATTATATATTCATTTTCCATTACTAAATATATGTAAGCTAGATCTAGGTACACTTCATTATAGGTATGTAGTTTTTTTCACTGTGGACAGATAGACAATGTATCCAGTCATATATTGTTGTAATGACAGATACTTAAAAAAATTAGGATACCAATTTTTAGAGATATTAAAAAGAGGTGATAAAAAACAAAAGAATCTTTAATGATTTATTTTATCTATCAGTTATCAAAATATACAACTAATTGTAAAATCACAACCAATTATTCAATCAAGATGAATATGTAAACAATTGTGAATGACTTGAGGTAGCAGTGCAATTTTACAAATGTGTGATAAAATAAACATCACAAGTTATAGTATTGTTTAATAAAATAAGAGAATACAAATCCGATATCAACATGTTTAAGTAAAAGTACTTTAATTTTAAAAATTAACTAATATTTATAAAAAAAATCATGACACATTGAAGGAGGGATGATAGTAATGAACAAGAGGCTCTCAAGAGCCTGAATCGCTCACCTGCATTTCATCAGAGAAGATTTTTTAAATGTTAGCAAACTTGATGAACAAATTGTGTAAAATTGTCTTTAAAGGGCAATAACTCCTTAAGGGGTCAATTGACAATTTTGGTCATATTAACTTTTTTGTAGATCTTACTTTGCTGAACATTATTTTTGCTTACAGTTTATATATATCTATAATAATATTCAAAATAATAACAAAAAAAACTGCAAAATTTTGTTAAAACTACCAATTCGGTGGCAACAACCCAACAATCGGTTGTTCGATTCGTCTGAAAATTTCAGAGCTGATAGATCTTGACCAACTGAACAATTTTACCCCATGTCACATTTGCTCTAAAAGATTAAGTTTTTGAGATATAAGCCAAAAACTGCATTTGACCCTTATGTTCTATTTTTAGCCATGGCGGCCATGTTTGTCGATGGATACAAACTTCGGATACAATTTATAAACAAGATACCCTAAGGAAAATTTAGTTAAAGTTTGAAGGTAATTGGCCCAGTAGTTTCAGATGAGAAGATTTTTAAATGTTAGCAAACTTGATGAACAAATTGTGTAAAATTGTCTTGAAAGGGCAATAACTCCTTAAGGGGTCAATTGACAATTATGGTCATATAAACTTTTTTGTAGATCTTACTTTGCTGAATATTATTGCTGCTTACAGTTTATATATATATATAATATTATTCAAAATAATAACAAAAAACTGCAAAATTTTGTTAAAACAACCAATTCGGTGGCAGCAACCCAACAATGGGTTGTTTGATTCGTCTGAAAATTTCAACGCTGATAGATCTTCACCAACTGAACAATTTTACCCCATGTCAGATTTGCTCTAAAAGCTTTAGTTTTTGAGATATAAGCCAAAAACTGCATTTGACCCATATGTTCTATTTTTAGCCATGGCGGCCATGTTTGTCGATGGATCAAAATTTCGGATGCAGTTTATAAACTAGATACCCTAAGGAACATTTAGTTAAAGTTTGAAGGTATTTGGCCCAGTAGTTTCAGAGGAGAAGATTTTTGAAATAGTTTACAACGACAGACGACGACGACAGACGACGGACGCCAAGTGATGGCATAAGCTCACATGGGACCCTTCGGGCCCCGATGAGCTTAAAAGGAAAACAGACATATTACCAATTGAATAAAGGAGATTGCTTATCAAAGAGAAGTAAATCTAATAAAAATAATTATAAAATAAATTACATGTAGGAATAGTTTTATGTTAATTTCAATATGATTGTCATGTAGTGATTTATTGAACATTACATAAAAAAAAATTAAAATCAATAAACACAAATGGCACACCGAGAAAACAAATATTATAATACAATCCTTTTATGTTTAACTTCATGTCACAAATTAAGGCACAGGGAGCATAACAAAAATATAATAAAAGGCAACAAACACATCAAGAAAATTGTCTTAATACTATGACCGGATGAAAAGCATGTCAATTATTTGGACTATCATCTTTCTGACTTTAATTATTATATCTTTTAATTGTCATTATTAGCTCAAATATTCCCACACAATTATCTTTTGGTTAAAAATGTATGTTTCTACTAATCCGATAATGGACTTCGTATCTACGTGTCAAAGACAGTTTTAGCAGATTATCTAAACAATGGACAATAATTGCTTGATCCGTAGTTACATGTATTTCTTTATTATTCTGTTTTATATACTTCTTAAAAATAATTTATATTCAGTTTTGGAAAGGTTCTCGAACCGTAAACACCGGACTCAATATTGTAACATCGTTTATATTCTTGTTGGATCGTTTATTAAATTGTTAAACTTTATACCGACTTGAATCTTCATTTAATACCCAGCAAATAGTCTGGCTATACAGATGCAAAAATGCGTGATATTTAATGATAGTATTTACTAATAAATTACAAGTAAAGTTTTGTTGAATAACAAAAAAATGCACTACAAAATAAAATGGTTAGGGTTTAGTCACAGAGACAATACATGGGAACCGGGAGAAAATATTCCCCCAGAATTAAGACATGATTTTAAAGTTCGCAAGGATCAGACTAAACGTATAAAAGCACGTAAAACAAAGAGATAGAAATGACCCCCACCCCCCTTATTCTTCTGTAGAATTACACATTATAATTACACATAATTTGTCAAGTTAAATAGCAAAACTTGCAAGTATACAAGCCGTTTTTTTTCCTTGCATTTTGATATATAACAAAATCAAGTATATACAAACGAGTCATATTTTTTTCTCATCCAGTAATGTTAGTATAACAACATTCAAATTCATATTGGGTTGTCATAGTATATTTGTTGGTAGTTTGGACCTAGTGTTTTTACACAAGTTAATGGTCGTATTATCAGACAAACATCAGTGACAATTCAAACATCAAGTAACAGCAATAACAAAATTGGTGTTATTTTCACGTTCTAAAAATGGTATAAGGG